CCTCCGCCGCGTCCGCGGCGCGACATGCCGCGGCGGCCTTGATGGACCACACGGCGCAATCTCCGCCGGGTCCCGTGCAAGGCAGGACCTGGGCATGAGGATCTGAGTTGCAATCAGACGCCTTCATGTGGGTGTGGTTATCAAAAATAGGGTAACCCCACAATTGAACCCTGGTATATGGAAACAAGGACGAACAGCTGCGCTCCCCTGGTGGTTTAATTTTGACCCATACCCATGTGTCAGGGCTCTGGAGATGTCAACTTGCACGGCAAGTGAGTTGTTCAAAACACCAAAACACCATGTGAGGGGCCTATGGGCCAGGTGTATTGTATGCATCCTGGGTTCCGATTTAACGAAAAGCTGCCCCTTAGAGCCGATTGAGATTCGCAGTAATGCCGGTTCTGTAGGCATTGAGTCAACGGCCCTTTTGGGTGAAGCGCTTGGTTGGCTGCAAGAAACTGATTGCCAATTTTAGTGCTCTTCCCAGACAGCTCGACCGAATCTGAGCTTCTGGTTTCACATCCAGGTGGTGCTAGTCAAACATGATGCCAGGTTATCCTTCCCGGATCCCCAAAGTAGTCAGGGCTTGAAGGGCAACACAGGCATTCCGCCTGTTCCTTTCCGGATCCCAAAAGGGCCCATCTACTCTCAGATCACAGCCCTGCAATGACGCATGGGAGGCAGAACAAGTTGGATCGTGCCCATGTCAGGGTTCAACCTCCTGCACTAATCTGTTTCCTGAATTCTTTCAAGAAGGCGTAAACAAGAACCCTGTTGCTAGCAACACCTGCAACTTAGGTTGACATGTGCGAATTGCTCGGATATCTACGTATCAACAGCCTCCCAAGCGGCTACACACTCTGACAAACGGCAGACTACGGGGTCGCCCGAACAATCATACTCCCCAAACAAACACATAATTTTATGAAAGGAGTCTTTCCCTTTTGGGTTCGAAACAGCGACGCAGCGACTGAGGATGTGGCAGTGGAGTCATCAAAGGCCTCGCGCCCCCCGAAAGTGAACCGGATCTGGATTTCTTCACGCACCAGGGCGAAGTGAATCCGGACACCCTGGATCCCAAGCTGAAGACTAACTTGACTAGCCGGTGACTTGACTAAACCGTTGACCTTTGCCAGTCCCTGTGGGTTCCGCCCGATTGGGTATGCCAACTCATCTGCGACAATATGGCTAGTCCATGCACAGGGCTAGCTCAATGCAAAAAGGAAGCAAACAAGCGTGAAACTGCCTAGCAAACACATCCCAACTAAGCAGTTCGTTCTTTGGATACAAGTTGTTTCCACTCCCAGTGGCCCAACGCCCCGCCACAAAAGGCGTCCCCACCCACGCACACACAAACAAAAAAGGAACAGAAACAGCCAAACACTCCAAAGAACCCTAGCTCAACTAAAGTCAACCAAAATCAACCCTTAAGAGATTGTCCTGCCCAAACCCCAAACCGACCTCAACCAGTCAAACTGGAAAACACCTAAATGAAACAACATGGCCTTAATTGTTTAAGGGTGCACCCAAAGAAGAAGACAGCGGCAACAGAACAAGTTCCCTCTGAGCCCAGATCCACGTCCTCGAGCGGGCATGCCATCTCCTGCCTGGGCGAACTGGCCCATTTGCTGGCGGAAATTACGCCGTTGCCGCTCTTATGGCCACAAAACGAAACCAAACTCAGCGGTGTCTAAGTCAAGCAACGAGAGCACTTGACGCAACGACACTCCCATCAGTTTGGCTCCACTTCTGTGATTTGCATTAGCGGCCTATCATGTTGGCATAGGAACCTTCTTCCAAAGGGATGCCCTGGATACCAAATCAATACTGCACACACCCGACTAAGCACCAATGAACGAGCTCCTAGCAACTGCAGCACTGGGCTTCACACATGCGAAAACCGGCGACAGAACTGTTGCTCTATATCTATGGCCTAGCTCGGACCCGAAATATCAGCACCGCTCGAAGATTTCAAGTTTCATGGACAAAAAAGACAAGTGCCAAACGTTCATTAGCTCTGGTGCCCGAAGCAAGTCCACATCCAATCACACGTCTCTCTTGCATGCAAAACTCGTACTGTTCGAAGCCATTTGGGTTCAACATCCGGCTGAGAGAGACTAGTGTGGGGCCGCATGCTCTCCAGCCTGTGCAACGCACGGCATGCATATGTACATATATATATATAGATACACACACACACACACTTGAACATGTACATTCAAATGTGTATGTATATATACATATATATATATATGTGTGTGCATAAGTACATATGGAGTCCGTCATGTGTATACGCGTATGCATATATACATATATATACATTCATATAGATAGATATGCCTGTCTGTCTGTATGCATGCATGTTTGCATGTATGCGGCAAAGGGTGTGTTCGATTTTGACCTGGCATGGCATGCCGTGTATAATGCCTCGGGCTACGTCTCGAGAAGATACCGGAAACGAGAAATTATCAGCATTGCCGTGTCATCATTGATTGACATGGTTCAATCTAGCACGGAACTGCTCCTCTCAAGCAAACAACATCACCCGCCAACACATGGCGTTTCTGCAGGCACAGGCTTTGTGAGCTCATCGGCCGCAAAGGGAGGTTTTGCAACAAATACACTTACCCAAATGTCTGATCTTTTGAGCAAAAATCTGGGCATTCTAGGTTCCCACTGAGCTTGCAACGTGCCAGTGTGGCAGACTGTGAACTTGCGACCTGGCCCGAGGCCAAAATACACGAAAGCATTGGGGTAAGGCCTTTCGAGTTACACGTGGCAATACCCTCAACAAGGGGCGCTCTGCAATTGGCCCTCTCAAAATCAAAACGCAGAGCATGTCTCATTGCAAGACGAGCGCCATTCCCCAAAGTCCGCAAGATGCTGGCTACCGCCTGTCCGCTTGAGTCTCAGGCATCAAGCAATCCCAAGGGCAGAGATCCACTCACAACTTGGGCCTCTAGTCCCTGGCACACAGTGAAGCCTCTCAACTGGTGCTGCAAGTTCACCTTGCAATGATTTGGCAATGATGCATGCTTCAAACAAGCCCTCCTCATTCTCCAGGAGGTTTTTCCAGACTGGCAGACTGTGCTTTCTGGGAATGGCCTCCTTGTTTGTACTGTTGGAGGCAACGCAACGAGCTTAATCATCACGTCCTTCGACTCCCAGCTTGTGTATGCTGCCACACTGCCCGTGGGACTTAGGCTAAAATATAATAGTTCGCCAACCTTAAAGAACGGCTCCCCAAGAAAGGACCTTCAGCATAGGTGAGGTCGTGAACCCCCCGATGTGTCGGCCTAACTTGAGGACGAAAATCTACTGCTCTGAGCGCATCACGGCGGGCCTTTCTTCGCAAACTTCACTGGCTGCGACCACTGGATCTGCAGCCTCTCACCTTAGCGACCGAGGTGGTTGCTTTTGACATGGTGCCCGTTTCCACTTTCCCATAGAATCCTAAACCCCCAATTGATACCTCAAGTAGCAAGAGCTAATTTCAATTTCCCGATTCAAGTTAAAGGAGTTTGCATGGTCCCTTTGAAGACCTTTTACTCTCAAGCGTTGAGATTCCCGAGCAAGTTGACAACTGCTTGTTATTGGTTTATCTCAAACGCATCGTTTTGGCCTTTGTTGTGTGTGTGTGTGCCTGGTTGCATGATCCTTAAAATCCTTTCCAAAATGAGATATCCTCTACCACATGACAGTGTTCGACTGACTCTTCCGCGGGCACATGTTGGCTTGTGCTTCCCCGGCCGCACTCGTACTTGGCATGTTGCTTTCAGACATGGGACAAGCAAGTGGCTACACTCAATGCGGTGCTGCGGCTCCTTCTTTTGCCAGCAAATCACGACAAACAAATGTTGTTGAAGGCTTAAAGGGCTTGGTTTTCGAGGCGGTCCGCGGAGCTTCCGCGGATTTCCGGCCGCAGTCCTTTTTCTTGCAAACCTTGTTGTGCTGCAACAAAACCTTCCACGAAGCTTCTGCCAAGCTTTTACGACTGCGGTACCGCACAAATTTTGCAAGAATCATGTCCGCCAACTCCTCTTGGAAAACACGCTGCACAAAGAGTGCTATTCTTCATTCCACAAACTTAATGTACAGGTTGTCCCCAATTTTTTCACATGCTCCTGATTCCATCCTGCAACTGGGATTTCTGGCCAATACTCCCGAAATGCTTGCCAAGGGCTCCAAGTCTAAACTGAAACCAAGAATTCTGCCCACATGGGCCCCGAAATTTTCCACGCCTGAAACTCCAGTCTGTGTTTCAAATGCTCAAGAAATGCCCCCCAGGTACTTGCACCTACCACGTGTACAATTAAATATAAATATATATATATATATAGAATAAATATATACAGAATATCATATATATTTATCTATGCATATACATAGGGCAAATGGCAGGGGTTGTCCGAACATGCTAGCTAGATCCTGGGAGGGGGGTATTTGTTGAGGGGGGGTTGGTAAAAACGTCCAACATAGTTCCGCCTCAGTGAAAACCATCCAAAGGTGAGCCTGAAGACATGGGCAGGAAATAAAGACCTAGGGCTCGATCTCTGGCCTTTCCTGGAATGCCTCTTCTGATGCAACGGAATGCGTCATCTGGCCTCTGCAACATGCTGTTCCGCACCGTACATTGCATACTTTCACTCCGACCTCAGGTGTGCGGGCTGCAGCGAGGCACTGTGACCATCTGAGCCTCTTACACATGGACTGTTTGGGGCACATGCCAATTTCCGACCCAAACAGTCAGCTCGGCACAAGGGAACAAAAGGAAACAAACAACCCTGCTACCCACGCGCGCGCGAAACAACTTTTCTGCCAGCTGTCAGGCCTGACGCCTGGATTTCGGGGTTGAGCCAACCGAGCCTCAGGCCTGGCAGCTGACTGGGCAACACCGTTAACATCGCCAGTGGCAAGGTAGGTCTTAGTGACAGCGTCCCGTCTCCAAGGAGTGAAAAAGCCATTGCGTTTTGCACCTTGGAAGATCCAACTCTGTAGGCTGAGAAGTTCGGCGATCACCGGACGCTTGCCAAATGAGCCAGAGCACCAACGCGCGTAGCTTCCTCAAAGACCGTGGCACTAGCGAACCCTGGGCTCTGTTCAGAGCTGCGTTTCATGCCCCCGCTTTGCGGCGATCTCAGACTGATCTCAGTGCCAGCGGCCTGGCCAAGAGAAAGCGCTAGCCAGTGATAGCGAGCAGCATGCTTCGACAAACAGTGTCTCACCAAGAGCGACGAAGCATGGCTTTCCCACCTTGGAAAACAAGCACCCAAAAGGAGGAACAAGGCGAGGATGCGGGGCCTTCAAAACCCCATCACGGTAGAACTCTTGCATAGAACCCTTGCAGCACCAGCGGGCCTTCACCAGTCCCCCGCCCGAGGGTCCAGGGCGCGGGGCGGGTCCGGCATCGCCTGTGCAGCGTGCGCAGGCTCCTGGGCTTGACGCAGTACTGATGCAGTGCCCATAGGAGGCACGTTCCCCTGCCGTTGAGAGAGGGGGTTTGGGGGAGGGTAGCGACCTTCTTGCCTTTCCAGCATGCAGGCCAGGGATTCAGGAAAGTTCTTCCACGCCAAGAGCGGCTCAAACATGTGCGCAAAAAGCAACATGTAACATGAAAACCGTTTCGGGGACAAAGCATCAACAACTTCACGGAATTCCAACCACCCGGAACTTGCTTTGAGAGGTGGTTTCCCGCAAGCGCTTCCAGAAGATTCCCTCCATGCTGGCAGACAAGCGCAGGCAGCTCCACAAAGTGTCCACTTTCTGCAAAATGGTTCTACGCATCTTTGCAAGTGGGACATGTCATGATGTGAACATGGCTCCTGCATTCTAAGTCTTTTCTTTACACAATTCTGCTGACAGTTCAGCTCCAAGCCTAACAGCGCATTGGCGGGTGGGAGGCCGGTTGGCTGACACCGTTCATTGGCCGCGGCAAGCCACCACTTCATCCAACGCTCACATGAAACTGACAAACACCCTCAAAGAAGTCAATAGATAGAAGTGAGGCTTTTCTGGACAGGCTTGCAGGACTTCATGCCATGTTTGGTCAAGGGGGGTAAAAGGCCAAAGGATCCCCAACATTCATTGCATGTGGCAGAATATGGGACAAGTGCATTAATTGTTGGCAACCCTTTTCAAGGCGGAGGGCAAACTCACAAATGGCTCCATGGGATCAGGGCTGGGTAAGCCACATGACACTTGCAGGCATGTGGCATGCAAGCTACATGCCGGCTAACGGCTGAAAGCTGAGCATTGTCTACAGCATGCTGATGGTCGTTTATGCCGATGTATCACCAAACTATTGAGAGGCCCCTGCTCAGCCTTTCATAGGACCCAGAAATTGCGGAGGCGGCTCTCCCTTTAAACCCGTGATTTGAAGTAAACCCAACCGATGGATTTTATGGCAATCCTGCCGTACATAGGCTGTCTGGATTCATTTTTTCCTTTTGTAATTCCCAAGACTCCTTCTCTGCTTTTCTGTTCGCTTTCCTGGCCAATTCGCCTCCAAGTTGACGCCAATTCGATGGCCAAGGCGCCCCCAGGCGCGCCAGGCCCTTGCACGCCAGCTGCAGCTGCTGCTGCTGCCGCGCCCGGCCCGGCGGGTCCGCCCCCGACTCCGCCGGCACGTGGCCCGCCCAGCGTCGGCAGGTCTCCACGATCCAGGCGGCCGCCGCCTCACCGGCGAGGTTCAATTCCCAGCCACCGGGGATGAGCACCCCCCCTTGATGCAAGGGAAGCAAAACCTGGCGGGACATGTATCAAACCAAAAAAGGGGGGCTGTACGATTTGCGCACGACAATCCCCCCAGTGTATGAATGAAAAGAGGCGCCGTTACGGTGCGTCACTGCACAATAGTTGAGGGATGGGCGCTCAAGCCAGTTGCCTCACCCCTGGTTGGTGCATTGTCCGATTCCGGAAGCAAATGTGATACTCAATGTGCTCCGGCAGGACAAGTCCAAGTACAATTCGAGAGGGATCATCTGAATCAAATGGCGACTTTACTAGTTTTGTGTTTTTGCTCCAGGGCACGGTTTTTTCATCAAGGTAGAGCGAGAGAACATTCTGCCGATTCCCAAAAACGACGGTCCGGATCGAAGGCTTCTTGATGTCCTGTGCTGGAGATTCTCCTGACAAATCCACGAACTCGTGGCATCTCGCTGTGCATTGCTATCCCAAGATCAGCAAACTCAAGGGAGAACCGGATCTCGAATCCCCTTGAAGGATACGCCTCCCTCGAGGAGTGATTTGTAATCAGTTCTTGCTTTTTCAAGGCCCTACGTAAAGGTGATGAAAAAGGCCAGCCAGCCCTGGGGTTCATTCCCACATTCCCTGCTGAGCACCAGCAAGATTGGAGGCATCCTGCCTCTGCGTCTTCGGTCGAGGCCGGCAGGCCCATCTGAGCATCAGGAGGCAGCGACAGCACTCGGGACACCAACTCCCGAAGCGCCGCCACGTGCTTCAAGACCTGGCAACCCAAAGCCACAGGCTTCCCCGGCGCTTTCCCAAATTGAAACCCCCTCTGCTTGGCGCAGCCAAGCAGAAAACCCACGTTTTCCTTTGACTGTTGGCTTACTGGCAGAAGGAACCTACAGGCGTTCCTTTCCCATTTATTGCTTTTGGCTTGGCTGCCGGCATGGGATCCTTTTCCCATTGAGCCCATGGCGCCGCCCCGGGAATCCCCTCCGATCGCCTGGTGCAGGTCCGGCACGCCGGCGTGGCCTCGGGAGGTCTCCTCGTCGTGGTGCGCAAAGTGGGCGATGCGCTGCAGCAGCCGCGAGAGCTCCGCCAGGCGCTCTGCGCCCTCTGTGGACTGCCCTCAGCCGAAGGGGCGAAATGACAAATGACGCGAATGGGGGGTTTGGATCATAACACGAAACTCAGTGACCATGGGAAGCAAAAAAAACGTCAGCTTGATTGATTCAGCCCCTTGTGTTGCAGGAAACCCGGCAGATTGTAGTTTGTGTGGCTTGTGCTGCATATTGCTCCGGGGCACATGCCAGCACTTGGCTGAAGAGAAACACACATGCGTATACGTATACCGTCCCATTCCTTGAAGCATCAAGACTACTACCACCACCTGTCGGGCACTGGAGCAGCCCTTGCAATCAAGACCCTCGTGCCCATCCCCATCTGCATGTCTAGGCCTTGAACCTGCCAGGTTGGTACTCGTGGCTGCGGTCCAAAGGGGTTCTTGGGACTTCCGCTGGAAGGGGCAAACACCTCCTGAACTCGCTTTGCTTCTTCTGAGCGCAACCAATAATGACGCGAGCTGGTCGCTCCAAGGGTCTGAGGATGCTGGGCGTAATGACTCTGCTCACCAGCAGCGTGCCCACGGCGTTTTGCGCCGCCAGGATCCCGAACTTCACCTCCGCCGCAGAGTAGACCAGGTGACACACCGAGGTGAGCGAGGGATGCACCTGGAGACACTGGTGCTTGCGCGTTGGGAATCTCACGCCACAGTGGCTTGAACAAGCAAATGAATGTCCAAAACACGACCCATAGACAAACGAGCAGTCAAAACAACCTCGAACTGTGACCCGCCAGTGACCAAAGAGCGGCTAAAGGGAGCTACTAGTATAGAGCCTCCAAGTTCGCCAGTTCCATCGTTCCATCCATTTCCCGCCTCGCCCTGGCCGCTGCGCAAGGCGTGGACCATGCTCTTGATGAAGCTGTCCACCGCAAGGTGCATGGAGTTGCCGCCTGATGAGCTCATGGCTTCTACCTCCTCGGAGCTGACAGTCACACGAGCCCCAAGAGATCAAGTCGCAGGACAGCGCCCTTCCGGGTGTTCAAAGGCAGGTGGGATCGAAGGGAAGCAAAAGGACACCAACATTCACACACTAAAGTATTGGCTGGACCTGCTAAAGGACACAAGTCGCATGGGAGCGCTCCCAGTTCGATCCTTCAAGCGGGATATGTTTTCGGCTGTGAGATCTTCAGTCCTTCACCAGCATCACCAGCTCCTTCTCCATGAAGGAGCTACCGCTGAGTCGCATCAACGCCTGCACCAGCGCTGTGTGCAGGCCGTTGGCAGACACCAGCAATGAAGGCACCTGGGTCCGCTGCACGTCATCCTCCACTACGCACCTCACGGCAGAATGGCCGAGAGTGGGGTCCCTCACAGCCAGCTTCTGCTCAGTTGCCAGGTTCTTGTGGGGCAAAAACCACTCCCAAGCTTGGACTCTTCACTATGATGGAAAGCGAGGATGAGCATCAGCTGATGCACAAAGGTCTCCGTATGGGGATACGTGATGCCCTCATCCGATTTTCCATTGCCGTACTTTGACATCTTGAGCATGAATTCCCTCGACATCGCAAGCAATAAGGCATGGTGAACTGTAAAGAACACAAGTGCCCTTACACCAAAAGACCCTGAAACCCTGTTTCCGACAGGGGCAGCCATACTCCTTAGCTGAACTCAGCTGGGGGGCTCCCGCCTGCGCCCACTAAAGTGGCATCGTCAACAGCCCACTTCAAGGGACCCAGTCAAACTGGGTTCGAAAATGGGACTGCCTCGGTCCATATCAGACAAACTAGGGGTCCAATTCCCAAAAGGGGCTCCCTCCAAATATTGCTGTTGATGTTGCCAGTACTGTTTAGAATTTGTTTAGCACGGGCTCATTGCTCCCATGAGCTGCCCAGTATTATTTAGACTTGGCTTAAGCTTAATATTCCTTTTTGAGCTGGCCCCGCACTGTTTAGACTGCAACAGGGCCCCCAACCAAAAACCCACCCAAAACTCCCTGTGGCTCCACCGGCGCCGTCGATCGTCGCGTCCGAGAACCTGCTTCCTTGCTTTGCCTCCTTGCCTGCCTGCTTGTCTGCCTGCTTGCTTTGCCTGCCTGCCTGCTTGCTTGCCTGCCTGCTTGATGGCTTGCTCGATTGCCTGTTTGGCTGGCTGGCTGCGCCGACGGACGCGCCTGGCCAGCTGCCCCGCGGTGTCGCCGATGGGCGCCGCAACCCGCAGGCAGCGCAGCAGCAGCTCCTGACGCTCCCCGCCAGGGCAGGAGCCTTGGCGTGGGGTGGGGGTGGGGGTGGCTGGGGGCTGGGTTGGGGTCATGTTTCTTGCAAAGGGACCCCATCTTTCTTCGAACTCAAAGGCTAATTTCTTCTTTCCAGGGCACGAAGTGGACGATGAGAACCTCGGGCTGTTGGGTGAGTATCGGGTTGTTTTTCTGTGCACGGGGCCAAGTAACCTCGCCTGCCAAATGCAAGTTTCTGATGTGAAGTCAACCCTCCGAAGAACAACGCCTCACTCTCCGGTGCCTCGGTTGGCTGGCGTTGCCTTTTCTTCCTTGGACCAGTCGGAGAAGGATGGTGAGAAGCTTTCTCTGCAAGGGCCCGCCACTGCCTTTCTCTGAGAGCAAAGTGAGAGAGGCACTAGAACCGCTCCCCAGCTCCAAGTTATCTGCAAGTTGTCTATATCCCCAAAGCCTGAAATGAGATCCTCAAATAAAGGACCTAAGCCACGGTGATTTCGTTTTCACCCCCAACGGCGATGCGCGGAGGCCATCAGGTCGTCTCGACTTGTTCTGTCAGTACTTCCCCTTGCATGAGTGTTAAAGGGGAACCATGTTGTGGATGGACGAAATCCTGCACCGCTTTTACACCATGTGCCGTTGGCATTTACAGGGAAACCGAAAGCACTCCATATCGAAGTCATTCCATGGTTTCATCTAGGTACATTTAGCTGCTGCGATTTCTGGGTTTCGCAGCCATCCGAAGTAGGCGCCGCTTCTCTGCCTCGGGGCTCAGCAAAGTGAGGAGCGTGCCCCAGACCTTGCCGTTCTCCGCCTGGCGCAGCTGCACCAAGACCTCTGTGGCCAGCTGCAGGCTCGCCACGCCTCAGCTCGGGAGCTGAAGCGACCTTAGGGCCCTTTGGGAGGCTTATGGTTGCCAGCCCCTCCAAAGAGAAATTGGACCCCCTGTCCCAATAATGCCGGGAGTAGCCCATTAATCGCTATTAGCCTCTATTGGGATATATTGGGATTGGGGGGCTCCTATTGAGGGGCCCTTGACAACACCATAGGCACTTTAAGGAACCTACCTGAAGAGAACCACAACCAAGTACGTGCATATGTAGGGTGATGTGCAGTTAGACATCTCCCTGCGCATATTATTTAAACAAAGCCGGGGGGCTACCCTGTGTTCCAAAAATAAAATGGGGGCGCTGACCCTCACAAAACTCACCGACCCGTGCCAACCGTCACTCACTATTGCAGGAGACAAGCCATGCGGCCCAGTGGCGCGGGGGCACAGCTGCCGCTGCCACATTTGGCAGGCCCATGCGAGCTTGCATGCGCTTTTGGGCCTCGTCCAGGTATGCGAACGCCTGGGAAATGTAGCCGTCGAACTCGGCGCCTAAGTTTCTCTGGCGTGCTGGGCTTGAGGATGCCTGGGACGCGCTATAAAGGCACCGCGCCCTTGAGCACGGCAACCGAAGCTTTGTGATCTTTTCTGTAAAAATCTGAGTGCAAGGCAAGTGCGCGTCTTTGTCTGGCACATGCACCCAAAAAACACGAGCACACACACACACACACACACACCAGCCTGCCCACCCACCCACCCACCCACACACACACACACATACACCAGCCCGCCCACCTACCAACCCAAACAAGCACACACACGCCAGCCTGCCACCTGCTCGCCCACAGTCAGTCACTCAGTCAATCAGTCATTCGTCATTCTCTCACTCATGGATTCGTGCACCCGCCTTCCCACTCACCCACCCCCGCACTCTCGCTCGCCCCCTCACTCCCTCGCTTGTACGCACTCACTCACTCACTCACTCACCTCACCTCACCTCACCTCACCTCACCTCACCTCACCTCACCTCACCTCACCTCACCTCACCTCACCTCACCTCACCTCACTCACTCTCTCACTGACTCTCTAACTCCTCTCGCATGTACACACGCACTTACTCTCTGACTCTCTGACTCTGTGAACCTCTGACTCTCTCACTCTCACCCACACCCACAGTCGCACTTGCACTTGCACTCACAGTCGCACTCACGCTCGCCTCACCCATCACACATTCACACATTCACACACACATACACACAGACAAACGAACACACACACACACAGACACACATGCGCACACACACACAGGGACAGACTCACAACACACACACGCGCACACACACGCACACACGCACACGCGCGCACACGCGCACACGCGCACACGCGCACACGCGCACACGCGCACACGCGCACACGCGCACACACGCACACGCGCGCACACACGCACACACACGCACACACACGCACACGCACACACACAACACCCACACCCACACACACACACACACACAGACACAGACACACAGACACACAGACACACACACAGACACACAGACACACAGACACACAGACACACAGACACACAGACACACAGACACACAGACACACAGACACACAGACACACAGACACACAGACACACAGACACACAGACACACAGACACACAGACACACAGACACACAGACACACAGACACACAGACACACAGACACACACATACATACATACATACATACATACATAGAGACACAGACACAGACGCAGACACAGACACAGACACAGACACAGACCCAGACCCAGACCCAGACACAGACACGGACACGGACACAGACACAGACACAAACACAAACACAGACACAGACACAACCACAGGCACAGACACACATACACACACACACACAGAGCGTGCGAGAGAGCCCCTCCCTACACCTACACCCACGCCTGCACCCAAACACCTAAACCTACGCCCAAAGCTTGGCTGACAAGCACAGCTAAAGACCCACCCACATGAGACGGCGTCAAAATTACTTGTCTGGGGTGTATTCATTCGGTGTTAGGATGCCCCGTATCGTTTTACAGGTTTTGCTTAAAAAGGACGTCCCGTATCGTTTTGCAGGCCGTGGCTACGGGACACATCCCTGGCCCCTTGCTTGCTACCAAACGGCTCTTTGCGGGGCAGCGCGAATGGAAGCTGCCACAAGCGGGCGTTCCCCGGTATCAAACCACACGGCGGCCAAAGAGCAATCCCTGCAAGCAAAACAACTCACACCACGGGCCGCAGATTCCTTTTAGCCTCCCTCAGAGATTGAGCTAGGAACTTGCGCTTGACACAGCGTCCTCCTCCAACGCCTGTTGCGCCGCTGCTTTTGCCTAGTTTTGCGCCTCTTCTCAATCAGCGCTCCCCCCTTGCTGGGTCTCTCTCATCGTTGCCTCCCTCAAGTCCTGCCTTTGTCCCGCGAGTGCGCCCTATGCTATATCCCAGTCTCGAGGCGGTTTCAGGCGTGCCAGCAAACTCACGCACTGTTGCGTCAATGTAGTCCCTCACCCGCTTGGCTGCTGGAGCTGGGGTTGTTCGCTTCAAACCTCGGGCACACGTGCAGCCGCTTGAGGAGAAAGGACGAGGCTGCGTCCAAAGACGCTTGTCACGCCCGCGCGGCACCCCCGAGAGGCCGGCTTCGGCACCGTGGTAGTCTTCTTCACCTTCTTGCGGGCACTCTTCGCGATCACCTTGACAATTGCTTGCGGCGTTTCCGCGCTTTTGGCTCAGACTTTGAAGAGCTCTCTCTTTGCGAGCACGCTGCCGCTCCTGGGTCAAAGCTTTCCACTTCTCCTTCAACACTCCTCAACCCATCGTACCACCGCTGCTTCCGGCTGCACGGCCGCGAGGCTGCCTGGCAATTTCTGGCAGTACAGTCCTTGCCCTCTCCAGCGTTGCAGTTCTTTCACAAGCCACCCCCAAATGTGTCTCCTCGTAACTGCAGGGTAGCGCTTTGGTGTCAAGTGGGCCACCCCCGACATTTAGCATCCTGGCCCATTGCGGGGGTATCGTCGGGGTATCGTTTTGGGGTATCGTTTTGGCGGCCGGTTTTTTTTCTGGAAGCGGCGCTGTTTCACAACTGTCTTACTTCCGCTCTAAGGAGCCTCAGAGAAGCGCTGGAGCGTGCAAAATGCAGTCCTGCAGTTTGCTTGCGGCCGAAAAAAAGTGACCTCCCAAGCACCTTGCGGGCCAGCAAAAAGGGCAAGACAGCGGGACATTCTCAGAATGCATAGCTGCGTCTTGATTTCCGTCTATGGTCGCTCCACCCCCAGCTCTCGCGTTTTCTAGCCTTTTTCGTAGCTTTTTCACGCGCAGAGCATCTAGTCTTAAAGATCACGCGCAGGTGCACGCGTTCTTCGAAAGAGCTCGCTCAATTAGTTCCAGTATTGCGCAAGTTCCTTGTAAACTTCCTTGACCAAACGGTGAACTACAGTTACACCCCTGCTAAACTTCCTTGACTGACCGGAGAACTACAGTTACATCCCCTTCAAAAACGCAAATGCTGGAAGAAGGACTTTTGCCCAACTACAACTCGTAATGCTTCTTCCTGGCCGGCAGTTACCCCTGCAATATGGTGGACACATGCTAGAAACATTTGCCCCGTTCAAGCGCAGCTTGTTTTTGCCACACGCGTCTTGTCACAAGCCAGCTGGCGCTCCAAATGTGAAGTTCCCTTTGATCCCCCTGCCTTGCAACCCTTGCAATGGAAGGGCCTAGTTGCAAGTCTCGACCAAGCAAATAAACACATGCTGTAGGAGAACACACAAACTGACAAGACATTCTTGTTTGCAACCAATGCCAACTTGCTGAAGGGGCATCGTTTTTTTGGACGTCCCGTATCGTTTTTCGAGCAAAAACGAAAACACAATACGTGCATGAAACACCCCCATATAAAGTACATGACGGTAATTTTGATGCTAACTCACATGCGCATCAACGCCGCCGCTTCGCCTCACTCTTGAGGCACGTCACTCGCAAGCCACGGTGCGATCTTTGATTATGGGCCTATCCGGGATTGTTGTCCACTTCGGACCACGTTTTTGTTCAAACCAATAGCCCTCAGATGGGGTACATGTACACATAGTCTCTCTCTCTCTCTCTCTCGGCGCCATCTCTTGGTACAAATATGTTGGAGGGAAGATCAAAGCGACTTGGGCCCTGGCGGGTGTTCTGATTGGCCGGGACCTGCTCCACCGCTGACACCGCCGCAGCGTCCAACACGCCCACCTTCGCCGCCGCGGGCGCGGCGTCCGCCGGTAATGCCAGCGCTGGCGGCTCAGAAGGCACCTGGCGAGTGCACGAGCCCATTGGATTTGGTTCATGGATCCCTGGTGAATGTACGATCATGAAACCACTACATCCAAGATTCCTTGTTCATTTCGCGAGTTCATGGAAGTTAAACTTTATAATTTGAATATCTCACCCTGGAAAGTTTGAGAGCGCTAGGAACCGCTGCCGCCACGTTCGGCGGAATTGATGGTGGGAAGGAATCCTGAGAGTCCCTGCCACTTTTCCCCCAAATTCGCTACGAGTTTCCTGAAGCAGGCCCCCTGTCAAGACTAGTAAGGGCAAAGCCGGAGGTCTGGCACCAAGGGGAATAATAATAAGTAGGCGTGAATCCCAAGATTTGGGAAGTCTGGCCAGCATGGATGGATTTGAACCCTATAGTTTAGGTGTATCGGGAATTGATTGACTGTAGCAATGGGGGGGGGGAATGCATAACACAGTATTCTGCGCCATTTTGAGAAAGTAAACGCGTCAGAATGGGATAATAAAGCAATATCCCACGGTAAGTTGGGTACACCCGCATTTCAGTGTCGAAGGCGAATCGTTGGATGTGATGTGTTTAGCGACTGCTTCAATAGCATTTGGTAAGGATGGCGCCTCAAAACAAAGTTTAAACGGTTGTTTAAACTTGTCAACTGCAGAAGTTAGGACACAACCTCCTTGGAAGAACTGCCAAACCTGCTTTTCAGAATGGTGGGTGGGTGCTGGCTGGTGCTCTCACTTGAGGCCAGAGGGGGCTGGGCGAAAGCTAGGCTCCGCGACTTAACGCCGAAGCAACATCGTGTCAGTGCGTGAGCGTGTCGCTGGGCGCAAGATAGAACCAACAAATGCCGTAGAATAGTCGGCATTTCCCTCATGTCCGTCCGGAACTGCACATATAGCAGAACTTTGGCATTAAAAACGTGGACGTGCCCTTCGTGCCTTGCTAAAACTGCAGCTATGGCAGGAAATCGCTCTGGTAAGTCTTGAGTACGACAGATACCAAGGGAGCCGAGTGCGACTGAAAAGGGGCCGCAGAAACGTCGACATGTTCTTAGTGTCTGCCTGGACATGCAAATGAGGCAGACAACTGCTACTCCAAATCGTGAACAAGACCGACACTAGTCGCAATAGCGTACACATTCCCATCATGTGTTCCTGGAACTTCAACGGTGTGCCCTCATTGTTACCCAAGACCGTCCCAGGCTAGACCAATATGAGCGCATCAAAAAAGAGGCTGCAGGAACGTCAACGTTTCTACAGGGTCTGCTAGCAGCAAATGATCAGCACCGAACCCTTTGGACACATGCTTTTCACACAGGGCCGACAGCCGTGCCAAGCCGTGCTGCACACTCCAAGAACCCCACAAATCGAAAAGACACTCTTCCAAAAGGCAGACTGCACGCGACCGCGGCAGGCAGTTCAAGGAGGAGTCGAGCCCCCCCCCACCCCCCCTCACCGTGATAATTCAATTCTTAGTACCCCCGCTACAAAACTTGCTAAAGCAAGAGCAACTCCAGCTAGCTGATGCTAGCTTTCGTGATTTGCTCGGTTGCCATCCGTTGTTTTGCGGCAAAATCGAAAACCAATTCTTGCCCATTTGCACGTCCCCAACAATTGGCCAGAAACTGTTTCGATCGCGTGATGTTGCTCGATCGCCTTCGCCTCCACGTAGAGGGTGTCGCTAATTCCGCCGATGCCCGCAGGGGCCGGCGGCCGCATGGAACGCTTTCGGGGCGTGGCCTCCAGGTAGGAAGTGCCCGGCTCCTCGTCGTCCCTGGCATTTTTCATCCAAGCAAAATGCAGAAGCTGCTACAAGAAGCCTTGGTTTGGTGGATACTTGGCTATCCTGTAGAGTTGCCTGTTGCTAGTTCCATGATTTCCGGCCGACTGAGACAAATCTCCTAAAACTCTATGGATGCACAAACCCCACCAAAGGTGGGTGGTTTGTCTGAGTACTCGCAGAGCTTGAGCAATGCCAACTGGCGCAAAACTTTGTCCATCCACAATAGTCCTGATTGTCCATGATTGTTCTGTGCCTTTAGTTGTGTATTCCCCGAAAGTTAAACAGGAGGAAGGAATGTGGCAGGCAGGCGGGTTACATCCCTTTACGAGCAGTCCTGTTTATCCCAGCGATGGGTTCTATCATAAAACCTGGTGCAAGATTTGTTCCAGTCCCCCGATTCCTTGTCCAGCCTTCCCCAAAGGAGCATGAAGCAAAAAAATGAGTCCCCCCTCTCAAGACGAAATCGCAGCACCAGCTGCAGGTCCGGTTGGTTACACTGGAAAAAAGAGAACACCTTTCCGCCAAAAAACAGCGTGGCACTTCGCTCCTACCCCCGAATCGGCTCCTTATGTTTCGCCAAAGTGCCTGGACATGAATCCGACACTGGTTCTCACCAGGGAATGAGAGAATGACCCCCTATAAATCATCCCCTACGGTTTCCTTCAAGGCCATCCCCAGGATCCTTCCCAAACCCCGGGTCATTCCCCTGAGCAGCCAGTTTGACGTCCAAAGAATCGACCCCTCCGCGCCTGGCGATGGCCAGCGGCGCCTCCTGCCACAGGGTGTGTCGGCGTCCATTTGGGATGCAAACCACGGATTTGGAAACTTATCTGGGCTGCCCGTTTTCAGATCCCCCGCTAAAAGTGAACAACTACCACTAAAGACTAAAGAGCTAAAAGGCTAAGGGGATGGCTGGGAGCCGCCAAGTTATTAGCTTCCCCTTTAGCCTCCCTTGAGCCAAGCTTCAACGGAACATGTTTCCTTCAGGGCAACCTTTTTAGGAAATCGCAATTTGAAGGTGACTTTTTAACAAGCCCATACGCTGGTAAGTGGCCCTGTTGCCTGTTGTTTCTTTTCGGCCGCCATTGTTTCCTATTGGTTGCCTCGGCTTGGTGCATGGAAACACCTTGGCATTCCAACCCTCTTTCCATTCATGGCGGATGCCGGGCTTTTGGAAAATGTTGCATGAGCAATTCAGCACCCAAGGGCGAGCTTTTGTTAGCACTCTGGAGTTCAAACAACAATCATTGTCATAGATTTCTTGAACACCAACAATTCTTTGAATATGGGAGGAACACCTCCCGATTTTTGTCTAGACCTTCTCATCCAACCCCGCCATCCTTCCCCCCCACCCCCCCGCCCACCCCGCCCCCCACATTTTGTTTTATCCCTCTTTTTTTTTTAGAAACACCCCCCCCACCCCCCACACCCCCACACCTCCCCCCCCCACCCCCCCCCACCCCCACCCCCCCCCCCCCACCACCCGCACCCCCCCACCCCCACCTCTCCCTCCCCCCCAACTCCTCCAAGACGGCCTTGGGAGGCGTAGGCCCGGGCATCGCCATGGGCGGCGGCAGCGAGGTGAGCTGCACCGCCACGGCGCCTTCCAGCAACAGCTCCTGCGCCGCGAATTTGCTGGAAGGCTTTCAAGGGGAGAACCTCCAATTTGTGGGGGGCTTCAAGGGAAAACACCTTTTTGGTGGGCCCCTTTCCGTTTCTTGGCGCGACAGCCAGGCAGTCAGGGAATGAGAAATGGAATGACCCCAAGAAAAACCATACCCTATGGTTTCCTTTAATGGAATTGCGAACGGCTTCATTTCTTCCCTGGGTCATTTGGTACTGAGCACCAGTAAGCAGTAAGCAAAGCAAACTTCCCATTGGCCAAGCCTTCAGACACACCCTGCCTCCCACAAGACACCTGGAAACCACCTGGAACATGAGGTTCCTGAAACCACTGGTGAGGTGCCATGCTAGTGGAGGGAGGGTAGACCCCCTGCAAAAAGCCGCTTGCTGGATTAAATTAATGAATTTAAAAGAAGCCCACCATCGCAATCAGGATAGTTTAGTCTGGCAATGAAGCATACCCACCATAAGGATATGTTGCAACAGTGTATGATTTTGCACCGTACGAGGGAGGACTGCGTTAAAGGACTTGCGGCCACGAAGGAGGCACTTTCAGCTTGCAAACACGCTTCAGGCCGCCACATGAACCTTGGCCATCAAAAAGGCACAGGCCTTTGACTCGCAAGCCACGTGAATAGTGCACACTTGGGTCTTTATAACTAGCGCTTGCCTGGCCAATGAACATTTTATGTGAACTCTGCAAAGGCGTATGTCGCACATCTGCAAATCCTATCATGCAATAATGCAAAACCTGAAGCAAGGGGCAAAAAACCTACAGACATGACGGTAAGCTGGTTGCCCCTTGAAAAAAACGTGTGTGTAAACTCTGCTATAGCTGCGCGAGGGGAAAAAGGCAGTGCCTCATGGCCATTCAGCCAAACAGTTTCTCGGAAATGCTCAAACATATTTGGGTGTCTCTTTTTTGGAGTTGGAAAATTAGAGGGAAACCAACAAGAAACCGTTGCATCTTGTGGATTCCGTGTATGTCGAGGAAACTCATTTCTGCGGGATGTGCTTTCAAGTAGATGTGCCCGCAGGTAAATAAACATTGGCACACATGTCCTAATCGCGGCAAGGTCTGGCTTTCTACCGTCAGAGAATTGTAGGTGATTGGTATGGGCCTCAAGCCGTGCTTCAATGCATGCTTCCTCGACACATGCACTCAAGCAAAGGGAGAAGAAGTGATGAGTGATGTAGAAACATTGCCGACCCTTTGAACACATAGATGGCTGGCAAATGACTAAACAACAAAACTGAAAGCTGGTCAATCCATTCTCAATGACCGAATTAAAAAGTACCTCTCAACTGCAAGCAACTTTCCAAATATTTTGCCTGGAGTCTCCAACGCCCTGTGTAGGTCATTGTCCCGGAATTGCAAGTACAGCACCCCAAGATTTTAGAATCATGGCGTCTCACAGGGTTTGAAAGGGGGTTGGAAAATCGAAACAAAAATACCCGATGCCTTTTGGTTTCCTTTTGGAAAAGTTAACGGTGGGCTATTTATAGTCCTCATAATCCCACTCCTCGTCTACCCAGGGCGGCACTGGCCCGAGCCCGAACTCCGCACCTTTCCTCGTGACGGACATGCAACGCCCAAGTTGCGTTGGAATCCAAATGGAACAAACACACTTGAAACCTGATTTGTTCTTCTCTCTCTCTCTTGATAACTGCCAAGAGTTCAGAACAGGTCATCACAAACTAAAATGCCCAAAGAACATAATTACACAAATTGAAGCAGAGATGAGCCTGGCTGATCAGAAATGGCACAATTCTACCTCTGTGTCGGCAGTACCCCGCCCTTTTAGCAAAAGAATGCGGAAACCAGCCCGGCACTGTCCCCAATAAGAAACGCACACAAATCTGTCCACAACTGCGGACTCTTCTGCGAGGGTCTTGGATCATTTGCTCCACTTTGCTTGCTGGCTACTGCCTCCGCAAGTCTAATTTTGGTGGCCCATGCAGAAAAAACACAAATGTTCTCCAAGGGAAACGCGCCTTTGGGCCAAGAAGGTGATGTCCAAAACCACCAAAGAGGGAAATATAGGGACCCCTGCAATAGCCGAGTTTTTTCTGACCTGTGCTCTCCGAGCATCAGCACGGCCCCAGAGTCCTCTGCTCCGAACAGCGCGGACAGCAGGCCCGCGTGGCGCTTCGAGGCCACCACGAAGTCCGCCGGGGGCAGGGCCATGCGCGCGTGCGCCTGGAAGTTGTCCAGCCACTGGATGAACAGCAGCTGAGTTGTCACCTGGTGGGTCAACATCGGGTACCCCGATTTATAACATCCCAATCCCCATTAAAATAGACTAAAATGGGTGGTGCCATTGGTTTTGACCCACAAACAGGATGCAGTTTGCCCTTGCCGCATTGTCGACCATGGTTCGAGGCTGGCTTCAGGAAAGGATGAATGGCATACAGAAAGCACTCAGGTCGGAGGGTTGAACAATGTTTTGTCGTTTGCCTGCCTGTTATAGACAGGTGCCGTCGAGGTGTAGAGTTGACATGTTTTCAGGAAGCAGTTATCCCTTGTTTGACACTGGTGGGTCATCGCTTGGGGCATCAAACTGCGTTGGTCATGTTTTCGCCGGCTGCAGCCACTAAGGCTGCACTGTGCACATTGCCAATTGTTTCCTGTTGACGCCCTCCAGACGCTGGAAGCTAGATGAATATACAACAGGCCAACACGAACAATCACAAGAGCCAGAAAACAAACAGCAGAAAGCCAGAAAACCCTATTCCCTAAGCTTCCCTAAGGCTCCCTAGTCTTCCCTAAGCTTCCCTAAGCTTCCCTAAGGCTCCCTAGGGCTCACTAGGGCTCCCTAGTACTAGCGAGCGGGCCAAGAAAAACTAATCAGCTTCAATTGAGTTGCTGGAAAACACGCAAAGGACCGAGTGTTTTGCGAAGAGCTTGGTGGGCGGGCAAGCGGCTAAGCCGAATGAGGGCTGAGCCGGATTCAGTATTTGAACCCTAGGCCTCCCTAGGGCTCCCTAGTCCACGCCATTTACTCAAATTTACCCCCCGCCCCCTTACACCCCCTCCTCTTAAGCGCTCCAGAATAAGGGATACTCCCACCATAAGTAGCTGCGGCCGTCTTCTTAATTCTTTACATGGTTATGGGTAGACCATTTTGATACCAGGTTTTGATTATGATTTAGGTGACGACTCAGCTGCAGGTGCCAACCAAAAAAACAACGCCCTCTTTCTTGATTTAAGCGCCGCGGCTGGCTGTTGCGCTTTCTTACAAACATGCAACCAACACAGCCAACCCTTTTTCCAGCCCATCTCAACCCACTTAGAGGGGGGCTCAGAAACATGTATATGCTTGTATACTCCCTCCATTTTCGCTCTGACCAAGGGGTCCTCTTGGCCAAGAGATAGAAACCTGCCACAGGACTTTCTTCACACAAATCAGGCAACCACCCACCAAAACGTCAGGTTTTCCCGCAGGCTGCCCTGCTTTCTCGCTCTCCATCCCGCGCCTGGCGCTTCATCGACTGGAGGAACTCCAGCTTGCGACTCTGCGCGCGCTCCAGCTGCTCTAAGGCGCCGCGCAAGACCACGTCCATCTGCTGCTGGGTCTCCTCGAAGTTGGCGTGCACCTATGGATCACCGGAAGCCAAAAGCCACCCGTCGCCGCCATCCAGCGCAGGAAACCGTTTATTGCTCCCACCTCCCAAGGTCCCAATGCTGCTGGCTAAGGTATGCTACGAGATTGTCTCATGTGTGTGTGTGTGCGCGTTTCGCTTGCCAGTCGAAGAGCCGCTGCACCAGCACGAACCGAATTCATTTGCGCATGAAAATGCCCTCTGTGCCTGGCCCGGATGGGTCAGCGGACTTCCACATCACAGGAGTGTGTCATCGTCTGCTTCCATTCCCTCAACCTGCTCTTTGTTCAGCTTTGCTTCCGTGAGCATTGCGCGCAAAGAAGTGTGAAAGCTCGCATCAAACGCGAACCTTCCGCGAAGATGAGATATCAGCAAAACCTTGCAGGCCTCCGCGCGTGTGGCGCGGTTCCCGGGAAACCGCGCAACACAAACAATGCCCATTCTTTGGGGTATGCCACGCTGCCTGTTTGGGCCAGCTTGGTTGGCCGCTTGGTCTGAAAGGGCACCCACCACCAGCAAGAACAGTGGACACATCGGCCATAAATCCCACCAGTCCGGGTTGAAACCGCCTACATCCGGGGGAGGGGGGTGGGGGGTCCCCAATTCCATTTAACTAGTCTTCCCCAGAAAAGGGAAAATGGAACCACGAGTGGAATTCCAGGGGTCACCCCCCTCTCCAATTCCATTTTCAAGGGGGTGGGGATCCTCCTACCGACTCCTACCCCCTCCCCCAAAGGGAACCCCCTGCCTCCATCAGTTGGAAGTGCCTCTCCTGCATGGCCTCACGCAGCGAGGTCTTGTGCTTCGCCTGCCTCGTGTCCGAGTCGGTGCTCGCGAGCATGGCCTTCCAACAGGATGCGCAACCAAGGATTCGCCAGTAGGGAACGCGGGTGGGGGGCGGGGGGCGCCCGGGAGGGTGAGGGTCGCGCGCATTGCAGGAACATTTGAGGAAGCTGTCCCGAAAGCCCACAAGAACGATCGCACTTTCAAAACACGGTTCCTGTGGCTCAGATAAGGCAAAACCAGGCGAGGCATGCCACTAAAACAAAAGCCCTTTGCCAATCTGAACAACCACCGTCACATGGAAGACGTCGACCTGGCGCACCATTGAATCAGTACATGCGGTGGCAACAAAAGCCATTGTATCACAAGGCTTTGATTGCACCTTCCCGCGGAAACCGGCTGAGTAACCGCTTTCAGCAGCACAACCAGTCTTAAGCCTCAGGTGATATAAAGGCACCTTACCCCGCCCCTCCCGCCAAGGCAAATAAGGCGGCTTTTTCCTCAACAAAACTCTCCTCATGACGTCACGGGGAAAAAAGGCTACCAAGTCACAACTGGGAAATGCGTTGAAGGGACTGGGGCTGGGCCTGGCTTAGGTTTGTTTTCAAGGTCGCCAACAGGTTTGTCTCAGAAGACCCTTGAAATGGTTGGTGTCTTTCTGATTTCAATCAGGGATTTCCCAAAAGGAGTGTCTCCTTTAAAAGAGGGTTTCCCCTCTAATCAAGGTTCTTCACAGAGGGTTTCCACCTTCAAAACTTTCCAAAGGGCTCCCCCCCCGACAAGACCTTGGCCATCGAATCGGCCATCGAAATATTCCCGCGCGATCGCCTGCTGAAACGCCTCGACGGTGGACACCAAGGGATGGCCCTCGTGCTCTTTGCGCGCATGGTCTCCGAATTTGTTACCTGAACGGCGAACTTCCATGGGCTTGAGGTCAACGGTTCTTACCTTGACACCCCGCCCACGGAAATTCTACTTCACTCAAACCATGAAGAGGGAACATAGAGATCGACTTGGCTGGGCTCGGGGCCTTGGAAACCAAGTATGAAGGGCATGAGCTTACCCCTCGGTGCGCCAAGCAAGAATAGTATGAAAGTGCCGCGTCCGATGCGGACAGCTGAAATATGCACGGCATCTTTTTGGCTGCCATGACACGCACTTGCCTGCGCTGCTTCTTTTCATCCCCATGCTTTTCCGCAGTCAAGGCAGACTCAAAGGACTAACCGCGTTTGAATGCACATGACCATGCATGGGCGGAACATTTAGCTGAGGACACTCTGGTCGACATCATGTAGCTGGGGAAAAGGGGATTTGTGGCCACCAGAAACTTTTCCGGTGGTTACCTTTTCATAGCATGCAAATTCAAGTGGCGATTCAAGACCAGGCGCACATCCGGCAAAGCATCGTCTTGCATTCCAAGCACAGGCTCTCGTGGCGCTCGGAAGGATGGTATCGACAAAAGCCGAACTGCAGCGGGGAGTGCTCCATAGAGAACCGCTGGTGGCGAGCGAAGAACTCGTTCTCTGAGTGGTGGGAGGTGTCGCACGCAGTGCAGAAGTGAGCATTGTCATTCCTTGGTCTGCACCCTGGTGGCTTCTAAGGGAAAGAGGGGCGCGAGCAAGCTGCAAGCCCATTATGGTGACCCTCAATCATTCGCGAGCAGCCGGATCCCAGTCACCGAAACAAAACAAGAATCAGACACAAGCCGAAAAACAAACGAACAAAGCCCAAGCCCAGCGTGAACCGAGGTGCTTACAATAGACAGAGGCTGGTCGCTGTTCGCAGTGCTCGCAAATCAGCGGCTTGGCCACTGCGCGATGCTCCTGGAACACGACCTCGCAAACCGCATACCTGGGCCAGGCTTAAGGAGTTCTCAAGGGCCTCATGGCACCTAGAAAGATGCTTGCAGGAGTTAAGCGCAGAAGCCGCGGCTCTTCGTGTTGTGAGTTACGACCATGATGAATGAATGCCAAACCACCGAAGCCGTTCCACAGTTCACGTTCACAATGGCTGGCGGTGTTGGCAAGCTGTTGGAGGCTGTACTGTCGCGATAGCATCAAACAAATGTTGTTCATTATGAGCCAAACTGAATTGCATCATGGCATCATCAACGGTTCCCTTGAGACTTTATGTGATTGCTGACGCTGTCTTGCCACTTTGACCCTACCTTAGCTGTAGCAGTCGGAAGCGAAAGGCTCTGAACCCCTAAGCCTGGAGACAGCGACTGTGTTACGTGCAAAACTGCCTGTTCAAACCGCCTGCGGCAGCTTGCTGACTGGCCCAACTGGTTCAACTGGCTGGCTTGCGTCTCCCATTGCAACTCTCTCAGTGTCAGGCAGGGGGCAAGGCACATGGTAACGAGCATGCGCCTCCTCCCCAGCGCAAACCATGTCCAAAACAGCAGTAGGTTCCTTCACTTGGTTCTTGGGAGGTCACTATCCGGCCGCCAGCGACCCTCTTTCCAGTCAAAGTGGATGATCAGGGGCTTCTCCAAACGGAAAGTCAGTCAACTTCCATTGGGGAGATATCCCTCGGTTTTTGGATCTGACCCCTGGTTCGTTGCGCCCGGGCCGCGGCAGCACTTGGTCCCGGCCCCGGACCCGGTAGACCTGCTGCCAGTCTGTCACCGGATCCGCGTGATCGGCGCCCCGAGCCCGGGCGGCCAGCGTGGACGCGGCGGACCGCACCAAGCAGGAGGAGAAGAACTCCGGGAACTTTGGCGGGGTGTCCTCCCTCACCTCAACCACGGAGGGAATGCGAATCAGCATCATCATCATCATCATCGTCGTCGTCGTCGTCATCATCGTCATCATGATCAAAGCTATTGGCAGGTTGAAAGGCGTTCATGCTTCAGAGATACCACTCAGGTTTTGTGAGCTGTTGCCACAATTCCTCCTCTCACTAGCACGCATGGCTCCAGCTCTGTGAATGCGACCTCGGTTGATACTTGAGAACCGACGAGCAAACCTTTGAGAGCGTGACGAAACGCAGCCAAAGGTAATCACAGCCCAGAAAAGGTCTTTTGGCCTCGGACAAGTGTGACTGCGCGTCATTGGAAAAACAAAGGGGGAAGAGACTGGGCAGACTTCCGTGGGCCCTTCCTGCCCTGCGTTAAGGCGAAAGACAAGACTCTGCAGAAACACGCTCGTTTAAGTACTGGAATTTGAGGGCTTGACGACTCAACCAACACAAATGTACAAGCAAGTTCTCGTACATTAGGGTCCCCCCCACCGTACAGTTGCTCAGGGGTGGGCCTTCCACCACCCCCCTCCCCCAATCCCATCGAAACCGGAGATCCCCCGCGAAACCTCGTGGAATCAAGGCACCGTGGAGGCCCGACCCAGGGCCACCTTGCACAGCAGAAAGGCCTTGGCCTCACCGCGCCGACTCCGGGGAAACTCCAGGGACCCCACCGGGAACTCCACGTCCCGCCAGTCCACGTCCAAATACCCCGCCTGGAGATTCTGGAGATGGGATGCTGCCACATCTGATTTAGGGCTCTCATTTTGAGTCACTTTGCTACAAGTGGCTGCGTGCAATGCTTGGAGGATGAGGATTTGAGTGAGTTGAGTCATGACTGGTTCACTACCAGGCCCAAGTGAGAAATTGGACCGCCGCGGCCCTGACCTTTCTCTGCAAACCTCGACTTCGTCTCTTTGGTCCACAACTGACAGGTCATGGGATTTGCCTTTGGTGCTTCAATATGCGGCATGCGGTGGCACAGGACCGTGTTGGACGAGCCTGAGAAGGCGAAAGGCGGCTCGCAGGGCTCTTCTGGCAAAGCCGTTCCAGCACAGCTGATAAGGGATGATGAGGGAAGATGACAAGTGCTAACGCAAGCCTATACTATAGACGGGTCCGTTTCGGTTTCATCCTCGTTGCCCGGAGAATAATCATACCGTCTAACTTTACCGACAGCAAATGTAGAACAAAAGCTCCGCAAACACAGCTCAAACTCACAGCTTAGATTGTAAGGGAGCCAACCTTATTGCAAGCAGCTGCCACACAAAACTTGAACATGACACCGGAATCAAGATTTGTGCAATTGCGAGCAAGTTGCATGCGCCTTCAAAGGAACCATTCAATGCATTTGCATCTCTGGCTTACCCCTTAAAACTCCAAGCCCTGGGGAAGTTAATCTTTTACAGACATATAGCCCATGTTACCCAAAAAGTTGAAAAGTTGTGTTTTTAAGCGGTAAGCTGGTCTTCTTGCGAGTCTGTTTCATCGTGAGAGCAGTTTTCGCCCTCCAATCATGTGGCAAGTTTCAACACACTGACGGCACCAGTTGCATTGGCGGCATGCTGCCACCAGTCACGGGCCACTGTGCTGCGGACTCCGAACTGAACTATCAACCCAGCGAGCACTCTCCAAATGCCCCCGCTCTTCCTAACTTAACCATCACACAAATTCCCCCAGCAAATGCCCCCACAAGTCAATCAGCTCGAAACGTGATGGGCTCAATGCAGCGCGGGGAGCCGCCGATCTCAAGATGAACCTCCCGCCTCAACGAGCTGGTGCCAGTCTTGGCCAGGAGTCGACTGCCCAGTTATGTCCTCCACATCCTGAGCCGTGGCGGCCACAGAATTCAGACCAGGTCTCAGAGCTACCGGAAACAGTTGATCCGCTCTGAAGTTCGTAACAGGCTAAGCTTCTAAGTCTGACTCAGAGCGGATCGAACCCGGAAATCCAAAGGTCACAACAAGGGGCCCGCCGAAGCTGCAAGCAACTGCGGGTTCCGAATGGGGGAGGGTTCTGATCTGTTTGTTAAAGGGCCCTTGTAGTTCCATCTGGGGCAAAGTGCAAACAAAGCAACACTCACAAAAACAAACCAACACACAGACAAGCAAACAATTAAACCAACCCAACAAAAAGCAAAGAGAAGCAAACAAACAAGCAACAAAAACGAACAAACAAGGAAAGAAACAAACCAAACAAATGCATAAGCAAAGAGAAGCAAACAAACAAACTAAACAAAACAAACAAAACAAACAAACGCCATGGCTTGACCTGCCGAGCATCGATGAAGCTGTGCACGATCGGGCCTTCCAGCTGCTCTGCGAGGACCCGCAGCTTCTCTAAGTCCGTGGGCTCTGAGAAGGACCAGGCGTTCCTGCGCGGTCTGCGCATATGGCTTGTTTAAGGTGCACCCGTTGTTGTTTTTTTAAGTGGGGTGCGTTAAAGGTCGAGTTTTTTTCTCGCACATGCCCCTTTTTTTTGAAAAAAATAAAAGACATATCATGTTGACACGGGCCAAGAGGCGATGTTGTCGTTTCACCAGGATTGCTCCCTTTTGACCCTATAGAAACTTGGGCCCTAAGAAAGCAAAGGAGCGGCACCCAGTCTTCGAGCTGGGAAATGCTGGCTCCATGTCAGTCGACACACATGACGCAACTCCGAAGCCGTCTCCAGGCCTCACGTGAAGGTCCACAGAGCGGAAGGTCAGCTTGCACCAATACTCCAGGTACCGCAGCTCCTCTCGCGGGCCAAGCCCTGATTAAACCATGACATTCTTTAAGTGAAGGCCACATGTGATGATTCGGGAAAGGGGTGAACAAAGCTTCCCTCTCATCTATGTTTTGGAGGTTGAAAGGGTGGTTTCCCGGTTGCCCTCTATAAAACCCAGGGGCTCAAATCCTGAAACCAATCCAAACCACCGATTCAGGGGTACCTGATGAAAGGCTCTCCAAAGGAATCCCTCCTTACAAGGGTCCCAAATGTCTAAAACTACCAACAAGGGAAATCTAGGCACCCCTGTCAAAAAGGGCTAGGGCTTGGTTGCTGAAACGAACCCTCAGTTGCCCAGTTTGACCCAAAAGTCACCCTTTTCGGGCTATGACTGACATGACCAAAAAATGGGAACTGAAAGCCCGTCCTCTTTGTCGTGCAGCTCTTTGGCCACCGCCATGCTACCGCCATTGCGAGGATCTCATAAGCACAGCTTCGCCCATGATTTTTGGTTTGCCGGCGCAAGGGACCTACGATATAGCTTCGGGCTCCAGCCACAGGTAGCGGAAGGCTTGAAGTCTTAAGGTATAAGTATATATATATTTATATATATATATATGTATATAATGGTATACATACGTGCCACATTGCCACCTCGAAGAAGGTTAGGCGCAGTGGGTGACGTCCTGAGGGGACCGCGCTTGCCTACGCAACTCTTTGGAGATCTTTGGAGAATTCGCGCAATGCCGTGGTCCAGGAAAGAACCTAAAACAAATTCAGCTGCACCTTATGCAGTGTGAAGCAGCACTTTCATTGATGCCCAAAGGTGTCCAACATCGTCCAACCCGAATCCTCAACGAGGCTGGCTTGGGGGGAAGGAAGCCTTGGCCCTGTTGTATATGCCAATGTGCCGCCTTTACAGCGTACCTGGAGCAGCCGCGGCAGAGAAAAACACCAGACGTAAGTGTTTCACTCAAAAAACTCATGGGCCAATAACATGTTGTCAAAGTCGGCCTGCTGCCGGAAAACCAAGCGCATACCCCACAAGCACCGAAGCCAGGAAACCGCGGCAAGGAGAGAAACCGAATGCATGCCCCAGCTCACACACAGAGTCAAGCAAAGCTGCCAGCATCTTCGGAAATGCATCCGATCTTCGGAAAGGGAAACCACTCCCAAAAGTCAGCTTGAGAACCCCTCGACACGCCCACTAAAAACCCAGTGTTGTCTCGTGAAGGCGAGTCTGGGGCGACGGCCCACAACCACTTGCTCGATGGAGGGCAGCAAATGTGGCGTGGACTGGGCGCGGAGCAAAAAGAGGCGCGCAAGGATTCTGCATTGAGCCGTCTGTAACCTCCAAGCATGGGGTTATACCTTGGCCCACGTCTGGGGTACGGAGAAAATCATATGTTCCGATTTGTGGTTCATATTTAGCCTACCCTGATATATACTAGTTTTGGAGAAACCCCCAGACTCAGATGATCTGGGATATTGCCGGGTGCTCGAGCTGTTGTGCCAACGTCCGTTTGGCAGCAACTTGCTAACCATGGCACTGGCCCAGGTGCCTTTAAAGAAAAGATGGAGACGCCCCCATGCAGTGCTGAAGAAAGAAGATGACATGCCAAGCAACATTTCACTGGCCACCCAACCAAAATCAGCAATACATCGGAGCTTCTTACCCCGTTTCTGACACTTCACCATCTCGCGCTGCAAATGCATACATGCAAGATTGTACATCACTCTAGGAGTGTCAACCATGCCCTTCCTTGCACTCTTCCTTTGACGAAACCATTTCCAGTGAAACCAACAGGGGTCCTCGTGCTTGGGGGGAAGCACAAACCTTAATACAGCCCGGATGGGGGGCCCTCACCAAAACACGTCCTTTGGCGTCCCGGCGCAGTTCCTGGAATAGACGTGGCCGCTGGCTGAGCGGCTCGGAACCTGACCGGTTGTGTGGGACTAGCAGGGCTTTCGTGCATCCCAAATGGCCTTGGATCATCACCAAATCTGATTCACAGTGGCTCAAAGTCGGCGGATGCACCGAAAGATGTTGGCAACTCACAAGTCAGAGGTCATGTTGAATCGTCTGTGAACTAGCCTCAAGGAGATTCATCAGGGGCTGTGCAAACACAAACGGCGAATGAACATCAGGCCAGGGAGGCAAACGAAAGCTAACATCCGCGCGAGGGCGACGGCATCTCACTGTGAGGGGTTCGCAGGGGAGGAGCTTCCTTCACGAGAAAAGGATAAACAGCCAAAGCGCTCAAACAGCCCTGCATCCTCTGCGCGAGAAGCGATGCCAAGGAACAATGCGAAAAGAAAACACGCGGCAGAGTGCAATCAGAACGCATACAGTAAGTTTGAAGAGCGGGGAACAGAATGGAGGAAAGAACGGAGTGGGGGGCAACGCGAAGGGCCGGTAGAACAGTGGAGAGAAGAGCGGATCAAAGAGCTGGGAAGAAGACCGAGCAAAGATTGCGAAGAGAAGAGCGCAGTGAAGAGTGGGCAAAAGAGTGGAGAGAAGAGCAAAGAAAAGAGCGGAGCGAAGATTGAGCAGAAGGGCGGAGAGAGCGGAGCCAATGGTGGGGAAGGGCAGCGAGAAGAGCGGAGCAAAGAGTGGACAGCAGCTGGGGAGCCTTGCGCAACTCGGAGGGGTCCATAACGCACCCTGCCTGCAAAACTTGCTTTATCACAGAGTTGTGGGATTCACTGGCCCCCATTACTTTCTAAAGCAACAGCTAGCAAGCTAGCTTTCTCGAAAAGGGCTCCAACACGCGAGAAAAATCAAAGCGCAGAACCGCAGGAAGGCAATGCGATGCTTGAGTTGATGGCATGAGTCTTGACACGCCTGAAAGCACGGCCATATGCAAAGTCGGCCCCCCCTTTTTTCATGGTTGAATTACTCAGGGGTTGTCCCATCATGAAGTCCATCAAATGTGGGAGCCCTCTGGTCAGTCAAACAAATGATCATAAGCAATGCACTGGGCTCCGGGCATCGGTGCCCACACGTGTCGCCAGGTGTGCCGGGTAGGCCACCTGCGTGGCAACCACCGTGAGCTGCTGCCATGGAAAATCCACAGCAGCTCCCCCCACGTCACCAACATGAATTCAAGGATTTGCCCCCCCCCCCCCCCGCGCAACTTCCTCAAAAACCGCCGCCTGGTGCAAACGACCACAGGGCTCCACGAAAACCCGAGCGTAGACCAGAGTTCTGCCTGACGAATGGCAGCCACGCGAGCCAGCCTGAACTTCGGCGCCGCAAGGAAGACGCGACCTGGACTTCGGTGGCTTGGCGCGCCCACCAACCTTGCGCCTGAGGCCAAAACGAACTGTTCACCCTTGAGCCGTTCATCATCCAATGTCTTTTTCGGAAAAAAGGCACCCTGTTTTGGCACGTTCTCGATTGAAGCCCCTCCAAAACATTGAAGCAAGCAGCACCGGAGGCAGTATCGCACCCAGGGTGCCCCGCCCCTTGCAGGAGAAGAACTCGCAGAGATCCACCTGTCATGGACAACAAAACCAGGCGTCAAGACCAGGCGACTGGTCCACAACGGCAAGACTCTGAGACTGCAATCTGCAGAGTTTAAAAGGCGGGATCAAAGAAGTGACCCCATTCACATCACTGGCACCTCACCCCATAGCCCTCAACGCCAAATCAGACGATTTCCGGCATGGTCTCGGAAAACAGCTAGGGCGGGCGCGCTTTGGCTTCATAGCAGCGTAGCATAGCGTAGCACTATGTTCAGGTTCGGCAGCCAAACGGGTGTATGATTTGGGTCGGTTGATGGCAAACCGGTGGAGTTCGGAGCCTGCAAGGCCTCATGGGTCCGGGCGAGGTTGGATGTAGGCCAGACCAAACAGACTCCCCATACAGATTTGCAGCTTGAGGCGAGCTAAGTGGCAGGAATCAGAATGATTCATCTTTGAGTTGGGAGTTGCTGCTCAAAGCTGAGGCGAATAGCGCAGGTGATAATGAGTAGCAGTAACCCTCATCAGTTCTTGCTCAATCGACCGCTGGCAATGTACAAAACCCAAAGGCCCTCTTTTTTGCGAGGATGAGGGAACGGGATCCCAAAACGTCTGGCCGGATGGGTGTGTGTGTGTGTGTGTGTCTGAAAACTGACTCGACCTTTCTTTGACCTAGTCGAAGAGAATATCTGGCAAATGAAGCAACGCAAAACTAGCAATCTTTCTTTTCCAACAAGGGGCCTGCGTGGCCCCTATACATTGGCTTGTGTTCTTGAGGTTACCTGTTTTTGAGCTGTTTAAAACGGAAACTGAATGGAATCTAAATCGGGGAACCATCCTTCTGGGTGGCTTCCCTGCGATTTCGCTCGAAAGCAAACTCCAAACAGAGTACGCTTAAGAGACGATACACCCACATGCGCAATGGTCAAAACTCCTGGGCAAATGGGAATCCTCACTAAATGTGTCTTCGCTTACGAAGCTCAAGTCAAGGTCAAGCGGTACTTTGATCATGGCACACTCACAAGGGCGTGTGTTTCTTTTTCGAGGCTACCCCTTTGTTGTAGGGTGCTTTAAAGAGAAACCAAAAGGAAAACCGGACCCATTTTGGGAGCCCTTGTCCAAGCCCCTCTTCTGATAGGCGGCACCGTTTGCAGGCCTCGAAGACCCGGGAGTTGTCGCATGGAGCCCTGCGCTTCCGACCCGTCGGCCCCGCCCCCCCGCCGATCTGAGGTCGGCTGGTTTGGCTCAAAGGGGGAAAAAACAAACATGAAAACAAAGGATTGAGAATCCCGAGTTCAATGCCGCAAAATGGTTCAAGCGTTGAAAGCGTTGAAGGTTCAACATCGTTCAGGAGTTGAAGAACTTAAAACGGTTCAAGAGCTGAGGAAATCAACATGCTTCAAGAGCTGAAGGCCCAAAATGGTTCAAGAGTTGAAGGGCTCAGTTGAAGTGGCCAAACTGGGGTTGAAGAGTTCACATTGCAACTGGTTCAAACGCCTACTGGTCGGCTGGCGGAGGGAGAAGCAGGGTCGGCTGAACGAAGACTCCAGATCCTCAAATGTCAAACGTAGGCTTCCTTTTTTGCCTCCGCCAAAGAACCTCAGCGAGGCCCACACCGCATGCAACCGACGACTCGCATGGCGCGCCGGTCTGGAAGTGGATCCATGGAGTAGACCTTAGCCGCAGCTTGCAGATCAGTGCGCAGGCTCCGTCACAAAGAAAGCCGAGTTCGGAGAACAAAGGTTTCCAAACCTTCCTGCTCGGCATGCTGGTGTCAGAAAGTAAGAGCAGCCCAAGCCATCCAAGTTGCAAGATTGACAGTGCCACTGCCTTGCCCTGGGCTGCCGGACACATTGCGTGGTGTTGAGAATGCCGCCGCCTGCAAGGAACCACCCTGAAAGGGCTGGCTGCCTCTATATAGTGGTAACTGGGACCTGGGAGCAACTAAGCGCGGGCTGCGCCCAACATCGGCCAGCTTGCACCTGCGGTTGCTTCTTAAAGATAGGTCCAGGAATGCGAGTCATCGGTTTGGTCATGGGCTGCTTTTGATCTGCGTCTTGACACGCTTGGACCCTCCGACAAACA